TTTTTTTTTTTTTTTGCAGTTTTTGGCCGGGGCTGGGTTTGAACCTGCCACCTCCGGCATATGGGGCCAGCCGCCCTGCCCCTTTGAGCCACTGCCCTTCAGGTGCTTTCTAAAAAGCTCTGCTGGCAAACTAGTTACTCACATCACTCATTTTAGCTTATGTGCCAGCTGTTCTCTTTCTAGCTGCCATCCTCCCGAAATTTAGCGATGCTTAGTAAAAGCAAAAAGGGAAGAATTTGCTGTTGTTTGTGTTAATCCAGGTAATGGAGACTATTTACCACCAATGCCAGAAAGATAATTCTTTAATAGATGCTTTTGTATTTTGTTTTAGAATCACAAGAAGCTGATGAAGTGGTTGAAAAATGCTCATCTGACACTTGTTCTAGACCTTCAGAAAATGAGTTATCTCAGCAGCCCGTTGATTCTCACTTAGTCAAGGCTTTCAAAGAAGAACCTGAACACGATATTAGCAAAATTTCAATTGTAAGGCCATTTTCAATAGAAACCAAGAATTGTACAGATGTCCCGGCAGCTTTTGGAACAAAAGCGGCTCATGGCTGTGTAACTGGAGTTTCAGGGGAGGGTTTACCCCCCTGTGTACCACACGCCCCCCAGAACAAGGCAATGACAGAAGGCAGCATGGGAGTTATGCTCGAGCCATCGGCAGAAGCTGTTCTAAAGGCCAGAAACTCCTGCCCAGAGCCTGTGCCCTGCAGAAGCAAACTAAGAAGGCCCAAACCTATCTCTCTGAGGAAGAAAACGATTGGAGGAGAGTTCTCACACGCTGAAACTGCTGTGGAGGAAACCCCTCTTTCCAAGGCATCCTGCCAGTTCAGTGTCAGAGAATTGGATGAGAACACAAACCCTTCTCTTCTAGGAGAAATCTCAGGCACTGTCAGTAGTGACACCAGTGATTTGGGGGTTGAGCTGCCAGAGGAGGCAAGGAGCTCACCTCTCAAGCTTGAGTTTGATTTCATAGAAGATGTGGAAAATATAGAAGCCCGGAAAGCTCTTCCAAGGAAACTTGGTAACAGACTGACTCCCAAGGTACAAAACGACGGCGTCAGCAAGCCAGTGGGTGTAGCGCAGCCTGCAGAGCCGGCGGGAGACGCGTCTCTCTCTCGGGTGTCTTCTCGACTAGATGCTAGTCAGTGGGACAAGCCCAGCTTCAGTCCCTTTGGGAGCCACCCCATTCTGCAAAACTCCCCTCCCCTCTCCTCTAAGGGTTCTTACCACTTTGACCCAGATAACTTTGATGAATCCATGGATCCCTTTAAACCAACTACAACTTTAACAAACAGTGACTCTTGTTCTACCACCAGTAATCATGTTAACGAAGTCTTAGAATCACCCAAGAAGGCAAAGTCCCGTTTAATAACGTGAGTGAGAACAGGTGTTGGGTGTCGTGCTCTGTCTTATGTGAGTTCGGCAGCTGTAGCTTTGATTTTGGTGAACTGAATTTATCTTTGAAGTGCAGCGGGCACGTGCAAAGCTTATGACTTTATACTGTAGCCTTTACTATTTACTTAAGACTTGTGTGAAATCAGAAATACCAAAGATTTCCCTTTTAGATTTCTGCCTTATTTTTGAATCCTTGGCTTATTCACTTTAGCTTAGATTTTTTTTTTTTTTAAGAGTAGTATGAGATGAGATAGCCCCATAGGGATTTGATAGCTTTCAGAAATCCTAGCTGGGCTGTCAGGAATTACTTTATATACAGAATTCAATTGTCGGGGCTAAACACCATCTTTAGCCAGTCACAGTGGCTCACGCCTTTAATCCCAGCACTCTGGCCGAGGTGGGGGGATTGCCTGAGCTCACAGGTTTGAAAACAGCCTGAGCCAAAGCAAGGCCTCATCTCTAAAAATTTCTAAAAATAGCCAGGCATTGTGGAGGGCACCTGTAGTCCCAGCTACTTGGGAGGCTGAGGCAAGGGGATCAATTGAGCCCACAGCACTCTACCAAGGGCAACTAAGTGAGACTCTTGTCTCCAGAAAAACTCCACCATCTTTAGATTCTCTGTAGATAAAACAAAAATTCCAAAACTAAAAATTACCTGTCTGGTGTCAATAATGTGTGAAAAATGTTCTAAAAAGGTCTTGGAGAAATCTTTTTACTTAAACAAAAATCTCTGATTTTTGGTGGAAATGAACTTACCACTAAAAGTTGGTGAGAATTCTTGTCTCCGTGTGGAGTTTCTGGCTTATGAACTAGGAAATGAATTTCTGATAAGAATCAAGAGTAATTTAAAAAATCCGTTAAATCCAACTAAATCAGTTGGTTAGTCTTTTGTTGCCTGCCTTCCCCTCCCTCTTCCTTGTTTCTCCTCGGAAACTTGGATGAATTTTAGCTAGGGCTTTTGGAGTTCTCAGAGTCAGTACTACGTCAGGCCATATTCTGTGTTAAGTTTCATTTTAACTTTGTTACAAAATTACTTTATCAGAAAATCTAAGTTGTGTAGATTGCAATACAGTGATATTTAGTGCAGCAGTGGGGGCATTCTGAGAAATGCATTGTTAGGCGATTTTATGGTTGTGTGAACCTCAGTGGGCGACTTGCAGAGACCTAGACAGTGTAGCCTACTGCTTACCTTGTCTACAAGGGACAGCCTGCTGCCCCTTCTCAGCAAACCTGTATGTCGTGTTACTGTACTGAATACTATAGGCAGCTGTAATACACCGGTAAGTATTTGCATATCCAGAAAAGGTACAGTGGAAGTGTGGTAAGGAAGACAGAAAATGGTACAATTGGGGGAGACTAGAAGTTACTCTGGGGAGTCAATGAGTGGTGAGTGAGTGAGTGTGAAGCCCTAGGATCTTACTGTGCACTTCTGTAGATTTTATAAACTCTAGACATGTAGACTACACTAAATTTATATTTAAGATTCTCTTTCTTTGGCTGGTACCTATAGCTCAGTGGGTAGGGTGCTGGCCACATACACCGAGGCTGAAGGTTTCAAACCCAGCCTGGGCCTACTAAACAACAATGACAACTGCAATAATAACAAGAACAACAAAAATAGCTGGGTGTTGTGGCAGGTGCTTGTAGTCCCAGCTACTAGGGAGGCTGAGGCAAGAGAACTGCTTGAGCCCAAGAGTTTGAGGTTGCTGTGAGCTGTGACATCAGAGCACTCTATAGAGGGTGACATAATGAGACTGTGTCTCAAAAAAAAAAAAGATCCTCTTTCTTCAATAATAAATTTAGCTTACTATAACTTTTTTTTTT